TTTATTACTATAATTTTATGCTATGACTTGAAATTGGGGATGGTAATACCTCCAGTTATTTTTTTGTTTTTGTTATTCAGAATTGTTTTAGCTTAGACTCTTATATTTCCATTCCTTTCTTTCTTTCTTTTTTTTTCTTTTTTTTGGTTCAAGACAGGGTTTCTCTGTGTAGTTTTGGTGCCTGTCCTGGATCTCGCTCTGTAGATCAGGCTGGCCTCGAACTCACAGAGATCCGCCTGGCTCTGCCTCCTAAGTGCTGGGATTAAAGGCATACACTACCACCACCTGTATATTTCCATTTTTATCTTTTTGATTTCTGGGAAGAATTTTCATGGTGATTGCACTGAATATGTAGGTTGCTTTGGTAGGAAAACCATTATAAAGGAATCATATTATATTTCAGGTGTTTTAATGGTATGTAAATTACACCAAGCTATAGCATTATTTTGAAACTTGAATTTTCCTTCCACCTTAATAATTAAAAAAAAAATCTCTGCACGAGGGTAGGGAAGCACATGAGCCCCACCCTACCTGTAGAGTTATTGACAGTTAATGCTGCTAGGTAAAAGAGCCAGTTTTCTTTAGCTGAGCTGCCTTGGTGAGTTGGCCGCGCTCTAGTGGATGGCCCACGCATTTATGGGCTTTGTCAACTGGACTCAATGAGCTATTTAAAAAAAGGAACATGAAGTTGTCAAGGGGATATAGAAGTGTCTGGGAGGTTTTGGAGGGGAGTTGGGAAGTGAATATGATCAAAATGCATTAGATGCATAAATGAAAATCTCAAATAATAAACTAAAAATATAAAACACTTAAAATTAAGAATCACTGTATACTTCCAGATGTAATTATTTACTGAAATAAATTAAGAAATTATAGTTATACTATAACTTGTACATGAGTGTTAATATCAGTTATATTCACAACTGCCAAACTTAGAAGGGGCCATTTATTTGTCTAAAAATACTTTAACCATAATCACATTGTATCTATGTTATAGCATATTATTTATTAATTTATCTATGGGTGAGCTAAATTAAGGTTAGTTATGGTTTTATTTTCCACACTTGATGTAGCGTAGCGATGCCACTTTTTCACATACACACAAGAGAAGTGGACCTGTATAATTTCTAGGGCATGTGCTACAAACAGAATTGCTGTACTATGAAGTGAGTGGACTCTCAACTATTCTATTAACTGTCAAATTAATGGGCAAAGAGGTGATGCCAATTTTTACTTATATTATCAGGGGATAACTTCTCTTTTTATTTATTAAGACCTAGTGCTCAGAGAAGCCAAAAGATGGGGCCCAGACCATTCCATAGAGTTCGGACAAGAACCTATGCTTACTGCCGTGAGATATACTGAATCTGGCTCTTAGATGATTTGGATGTTTTAAGGGTAGACTGAAGTCTTTTTTGGATGCTATGGTCCATGGCATATTACAGCAGATGGCAATTAATAATTCAGATGTCAACCCATCAGATGAGTAAGTCTCTGATGGAAGAACCTCATCAAGCAAGGCTTAGGAGGCCATAGAATCTGAAAACTGGTTGTTTCTGTCTGTGATTTTTTCATGTACTATTACAACTCAGCCTGGATTGGTAGTATATTTTTGCCATGGTATATTGGGCATATTTATCTGTGGATAGTCAGGCAGATGATTTCTTCTTAAACTGTATAATTTTGATGAATAGAAATAGTGTGATGATATTTTTCATAGCTCAGGCTAACATAGGAAAATAACAGCATTTTCAGTTATAAAGATAGCTTTTTACTTAATTAGCGACTTAAGACCTCAGCAAATTCAAAGTAGATCAGTTGCCCCTGAAAATGAATCACACAAGGACAGATTCCCAGGTGTCTGGTTGTTGAACCAAGGTCAGGCATGAAGCAACTTTAGTGCCAGTTCTTCACTTGCAGAAGTCTGGCTGATAACATTAAAGACATAACTCCCTGCACAGATTCTCTCAGCAACTGACTCTCTGCATAAACTTTTTTCTTTTTCTTTTTAATTTTTTTTCATTTTTCTTTTTTAAGAAATTTTCTACTCATTCTACATACCACCCACAGATCCCATCTCCTCCCTCCTCCCACCCCCAGCCCTTTCTCCCAAGCCACCCCACATCCCCACATCCCCCAAATCAAGGTATCCCATGGGGAGTCAGCAAAGACAGGCACACTGAGCCTAGGCAGGTCCAAGCCCCTCCCCACTGCACCAAGGCTGCACAAGGCATCACACCACCAGCACTAGACTCCCAAAAGCCTGCCCATAGACCAGTGATGGATCCTGATCCCCCTGTCTGGGTGCCCCCCAAACAGTTTGAGACAAACAACTGTCTTTCATATCCAGAGGGCTTAGTCCAGTCCCATGGGGGCTCCACAGCCACTAGTCTACATACAGTTCATGGGCTTCCACCAGTGTGGCCGGTCATCTCTGCATGTCTTCCCATCATGATCTCGACATCTCCTGCCTGCAGAATCCCTCATCTCTCTCATCGATTGGAGATGAGCTGGAGCTCAGCCTGGTGCCTGGCCATGGATCTCTGCATCTGCTTCCATCAGTCATTGGACAAAGGCTCTATGATGACAGTTAGGGTATTCACTAGACCAGTCACCAGAGTAGAACAGTCCAGGCACCCTCTAGACCACTGCCAGCACTCCCAGGTGGGGTCATCCTTGTGGATTCCAAACTTCTAATCTCAGTTTTATGATGCAAGACTCAAGGTTCAGCCAACTAACTTTATGTTTATGTCCTAGGATGCTTTCAAGGTCGTTGTCCTCTGAGAAGGTGCGGAGCACTCAAGTGCTATGTGCCTTCCATCTACTTACCAGGGAGCTTGGCTGACAGCCGTTCTCAGTCATGCTGGCTACCCAGTCAGCATAACATTCCAAATCTGAGAGAAACTGTATGATTTTATGTGTGTTATCAGAATGATTCTGCTACTTATTGTTTACTCCAGAAATGTAATGTGACCCTCAAAAAGAGCTTTCTGCTGGGAATGTATATAACTGTGTAAAGACAAAGAAAAAAAAGAAGAGAGAATTTTCAAGATGAAGTAAAAAAGAAAGAACAAGATGCCATGGTCCGTGGCATATTACAATAGAAAGCTGTTTTTGAGGGTCATTTGTAGGGGCAACTAGTCTACTCTGAATTTTCTCTGAGGTCTTAAGTCAATTAATTGAATAAAAATATTGCTTTTAGGGGCGGTGGTGGAACACACCTTTAATCCCAGCACTGGGGAGGCAGAGGCAGGTGGATCTTTTTGAGTTCGAGGCCAGCCTGAGTTACAGAGTGAATTCCAGGAAAGGCACAAAGCTACACAGAAAAACCCTGTCTTGAAAAAAAAAAAAAAAAAAAAAAAAAAAAAAAAAAAAAAAAAAAGAAAAAGAAAAAAAAGTTTAAGGGTCTGGAGAGATGGCTCAGTGGTTAAGGGCACTGGCTTCTCTTCAGAGGTCCTGAGTTCAATACCAGCAACCACATGGTGGTTTACAACCATCTGTAATGAGATCTGGCACCCTCTTCTGGCTTGCAGGGATACATGCAGACAGAACACTGTATACATAATAAATAAATAAATCTTAAAAAAAATATTGCTTTCCTATGTCAGACTGAGCCATAACAAATATCCTTGTATTATTTCTATTCATCAAAATTATGGAACTTGAAAAGAAATATTCTTCCTGACCATCCACAGATAAATGTACCCAGTATATTAATGAAGAAAATACACTACCAATGTTTAGAATAACACATGAAAAAATTATAGACAGAAACAACCAGTTTTCAGATTCTATGGCCTCAAAAGCCTTGCTTGATGAGGTTCCTCCATCAAAGAGTTATTCATCTGATGGGTCGATGTCTGAATTATTAATTGCGATTTGCTATAATATGCCGTGGACCATGGCACTTGTAGATATGATACTTCACAGTATTTGTGTCAGCTTTACAGTTTCTTCCAGAGCTTCCTTTAAATCACAGAGGAATAATCCACAAGGTCTGCCCTGAACTGGGGAATCCTAGTTTTCTGATCAGAGGATATCCTGAAATCCTCTTTCATAATTGTGCTTAGCTCTAGCCTAGTATTAGGCCCATAGAATGATTCTAGATTGTGTCATCATTGTTCCATTGATGGCACAATATAGTTGAACAAAGGGCTGCACACAAAATAAAAAGAAAATCACACTGTACAAGACCATCTTTCCTATAGCATTGACCAACGAAAGGTTATTTCTTTGGAAATCTGAAGTACTATGTTGACAATCTCCTGTGTTGCAGTCAGGGCATGCCAGAGTTGCCAATGCAGAAGAGAGAGCTGGGGGAATCATGTAAACTTCAGTGACTCAACCTAGAAGTGATATGTGCCAATTCAGCTAGCTAGAACTAAACAATGGTTTCCATCCACCTGCATGAGAGGTGAGAAGGTGTGTGGAAAAACACACAAATGTTAAATGAATGCTAACAATCTCTCTCACACATTTGATCTTTGATACTTTGAAATCACGTATGTTGAAAAAAATCATAGGCAATTTCACATCATTTCAAACTCTTAAACAATCAGGTCAGGGTTTCATATTACTTTCTTCTATATTTAAAAAAACAAGTGGTTAATGAACTGCATACTGTCTTCTTAAGAAACCATTTTGAGGTTTGTGTTAAAAACCAACAAAATTTTGCTTAATAGTTGTGAGATCTGGGGAAGTCATTTAACTCCTGTAAACACATACCTCAATTGAAAATGGAATATTAATCCCTTATTCATGGGTATGCTGTGAAGGTTAGGCTAGAGATGGCATTTAAAACATCTCACACAATGTGCACTATGAAGTGTCAAGATAAAATTTTAATTTTATCGGCATAGCTGATACTATAATATGATCTATGTGCTAAAACCATCAGAAGCTAGCTAGTCTGCTCTTTGGGGATGAGAAATGATTTGGTGATGCTCCAGAAATGAAATATCTATCATCTGTATTTTCTTTTCTTTGTAGGTCCCGGGGGATTTCCCAGGTCATTTCCTTGCTGGAACACTTTTCCTTATCATGGCTCTTTGGTGGAGTACAAAGAGTATTCTGAAGCATGTTTGTAAACAGCAAAAGAGGTCTTCCTCCCTTATTACCAAAGAATTCTTCTTTCGAGCAGAACTTTTGGAGGGAATTGTGATTATTGGCATGGCATCAATAGGTGAGTTGATTTATTGTGTTGTATTTTCTCAATTTGGTATTTTTATATGCATAGACAAGTTTTTTTCTTTTTTTCTTCCTTTTTTTTTTTTTTTTTACAAAATCTAGAGCTGAATATTTTATTCAAATATTTATTAAATATTTTAATTACAATTTCCATATGATATAATTTGTTAGCAATATGGTATTTTGGGTTTATATGAAGGCCTACTTCTTAATAAATTAATTGTAGTATTTAATTTACCTACTCAATCATGATGAATGTCCTTTGTGGAATTGGTTGGATCTTCTGAAATAATTTCATATCAATTTTTTTCTGATCCTTGAAAGGATAAACCCTATTAGAAACCATTTGCAGGTGATGCAAAATAATCAAGTGATTGTTGGAAAGTTTCAATAACTCATTGCAAGGAGGTTATGGAGGAGGGTCAGGGCTGAGGAAGGCCTTGCTTCATGATCTCATCCTTTCTTTTTTTTCTAATTTCCTGAATTAAAGAAAGCAGTTTGGCCAAGTAATTTATGAAGCCTTTCCATTGCTTTAGAGAATTCCATTAAAATGGTCTGTTTTTAGTTTCACTGTAGCCTCTTATAAAAGATAAAGCTTTCTGCTTTTCCATTAAGTTTTTTTGTGCTTTATTCATGGAAAGAGGTTTTTGATAGGACTCACATTAATTGTTTCCAAAGAGAAGAATCTTTCTGCAAACTTCTATATGTTAGTAAGTAAGCCAACCTCTCTATGAAAGTTCAAGTGCTTGTTAAACTGACTATACCACATGCTGCATCCATTGGGGATTCTTGCTTATCCTTAGCTGGAGGAAGCTGAATCGTAAGAATTTTTTTGTTTTGAACCCAGGAGCCAAGGCCAGTCCTTTACCTAGTGGCTATCCAAAGGTCTGGTAGCTAGGAAATGAAGAGTCAGCCTCTAGAGGACACTCTCATAAGCCTTGGACATTAGGTTGGAATAGAAACTTGAACCAAAATGATCAGCATTGGTTGTGACTATAAAATTGGATATCTCAACTAGCATTTGAACCTCTAAGAAAGTCTAAGGTGTCACTACAAAACTGTTAGGGAACCACCCAAAGAGGAAGTAATGTTGTAAGAGGACATAGTAGATTGAAATAAGCAAAGGTCATATCTTCCTGCATGTGTGTGCTAGGTAAAATCATGTAGAGTGTTACTCAACGGTGTTATGCTTCTCTGCAGGAATAATTGGTCTATACATTGCACTTTCGAAGATACATCAGTTCTCAGATAAAGAATCCAAGTTGACCCTAATTCTGCACTGGCATCATCTTTCCATGTATGTCTTCTTTGCAATACTAGGTGGGACCAAGATCTTATGTTTCATCATTAGTTCACTTCCAGTCTCTTTGGTCAAGTTAACGTTATCAAGTGCCTTCTTTGTGGAAGGTAAGTAGAGTGGAGTAGAGTTTTCTTTTCTTTTTCTCTCTGTATTTGTCTCAAAATAAGCATCTGGGTAGCCCTGTAAAATAAAGTATCTTTGTTTTTTTAGTGCAGTCCTGGTTGACAGGGCAAAGTATCTGGGGCATACTGAGGCACCTGGCTATTCTCTGTAGGATGCCAAGGATGGTTCTTCTCTGACTCATTCTCAAGACTGGGCAGATACAACAATTTAATGTGATTTATTCATGTTTCACATCTGTCTTGAAGAATCACCTTCTTTCTTTGTTTTCTTAGCAATTATCTTCTTTATACTTTTAATAACGAAAATTAAACACAGAGTAATGGAAGTCTGAGTGCTCAGCTGGGATAGCTAGCTGTTAACAGCAGAACAGATTCTGCCTCTTGACAACCAGCTTTTAAATCACTGATACAGTGAAACTTTGCCACGATGTGGAAAGTTGAGTCTGCAAATTTCAATCACATTAGAAGTAGAAATCCCAATTTTGAGAAATTAATGAAAAATAAATCATATGTTTTGTTCATTTGTTTTCTCCAAGATTACTGAGGTGGGTGAGAAAAAGGTCTTTAATGATTCTTCTTCATTTATTATACACGTGAAAAAGTAGATTAATTATGGAGCTCTGAGAGCTACAAGTGGTTAAGGGCACCTGTTCTTCACTCCCATGTAAAGAAAGGAGCGCTTGATGGTTGCTTTTTAAGGGCAAGGGCCAGAAAAAAAAGAAAACATTTGCAACAACTAATAGCCTGGTTCTTATATCTTTAATGAGCATCCTGCTCTTTTAGTTTAGTGAAAACTATTAAGGTGAAACTGGAAAATGTTTATGTAATGAAACATTATAGTTATTATATATGTTTCCTATATAGATAACAGAATATGACTGTTATCACATCTGGTTATCTATTATGTAGAAACTCTGAATTGATATTAGTCATTATCAGTTCTGGAAGATAGCACTGGTGCATTTCTCAAGGTGTGAATTATGGGTGTGTTTACTTATTTCAGGGCACTGAATTCCTTAAGGCAAGGCTTTGGCTTCAGCTTATTCACCTGCATATTCATGTGAATTGTAGCTCCCTGCCCTGTCATGTTTATTATTCACCAGCCTGCATCATAATGCCTTTAAATACAGTTAGTTGAAAATGTCATGTTAGAGGAGACAATGAAGGTTGGAGAAAGAAAAGGAAGGTTGAATTTCAATGATTCCATTCTAAATAGGCGGTGATAACGGACAAAAGCTGCAAAGCTGCACTCCGTGAGACCCAGTGGGACCTCATCCTTTAATCAGTTGTATAGGTGTATAAAATTCTGTGGCTCCAGAGGGAAAGAAGGTGGGAGAGAGAACTGATGAGTTCGTTATCTTTGTTTTTTATTTTAAAAAAACAAACAAACTTTTTTTTCCTACCCTATTAGCTTTCATTTTCTACAATCACACACATGGCCGGTCAGTGGTGGACACCTTTGGGCACCAACTGTTGAGCTTTGATGTATTTTTGGCGGGTCTGGTTGCCTTCATAGAATTCCTCACAAAGAACAATGTAGTTCTGGAGCTCCTGAGGTCAAGCCTCACCATGCTACAGGGGATGTGGTTCTATCAGGTGAGTTGAAGCCTCCGGCTCTATTTTGTTTCTACCCATGGCTTCTCTCCTTTGTTGATGAGGTAGTTTCTTATGAGTCCAGAGACGTTCCTGTGACATGCTGTCTATAGTGAAACTGTTGGTCTTTAAGAGGTAAAGTCTTTAATTGACCTCAGGCTTCCTAGTGGGAATACTGGTAGAGCAGCTGAGCAGGAACTAGAATGTGACTGTTATCACAGCTGGTTATCCACTATGTAGAAACTCTGAATTGATATTAGTCATCATCAGTTCTTGATAAGATGGCTTATAGCCTAATCAGTAGTAAGCTCCAGAAACATATGGAAAGTAAGCAAGGGAGGAACCTTTTATTTATTGAGAAATAAGTGTATAGTTGCCATTGTACTGAAAAAAAAATACTTTTGAGAAAGTGTCTAACTAGTTATCCTAGGTTGGCCTTGAACTCAACATCCTAGAATTCAAGGCTTCAGCATCCTTAGTGTTGTGATTATAGGTGTATGCCATGTTTATCTTTTATTGGATTTCTATGAACACTGTATTTCACTTTGTTTATGATAATGTAACAGTTAGGTATTATCATCTCTAACTTATCAATTAGAAGACTCTAGAAGATTAAACTATTTTGCAAGGCTCACACAATAATGGAACTAGGCAATTCTCTGCTAAGTATTTCCATATAAACTTAGCTTAACAGGCAGGAATCCATATTAGTGGAAATAATGCCACAACATACAGGACATTATGGGAATTCAAACAGGAATCCTGGATGAGTACAGACCAAGAGATGAATATGCTTGACATAGGGTAGAAACAACACATATGCCCCCTACCAAAACCAACATCTTCACCTGTAGCTAGAGTTTTCCTGCCTTGCCCACAGTCAGGACAAATCTTTGTCACCCGCCAGTCCCACAGCCATTCAGACCCAACCAAGTAAACACAGAGACTTATATTGCATACAAACTGTATGGCCGTGGCAGGCTTCTTAACCCATTTTTATAAATCTATACCTTGCCACGTGGCTGGTGGCTTACTGGCATCTTTACATGCTGCTTCTCCTGGCGGTGGCTGCAGTGTCTCCCTCCTCAGCCTTCCGCTTCCCAGAATTCTCCTCTCTCCTTGTCCCACCTACTTCCTGCCTGGCAACCTACTTCCTGCCTGGTCACTGGCCATCAGTGTTTTATTTATATAGAGTGATATCCACAGCATTCACCCTATCCCTTTGCCAATTCCACTGATAGATGTGGGGCCTGGAAAACTGTTAAATGCTGAAGATGAAAGCAGTGACATGCATTTTTCTGTTTTGAATGAAATCTGTACTAGACTCAGACTTTGGCCATCAGACTAATGGGAAAGTCAAGCAGCCTCTTATCTCTACCAAAGATCACTTACTGGCTCTAGGACAGTGGTTCCCAATCTTCCTAATGCTGCAATACTTTAATGCAAGTCCTCATGCTGTGTTACTGTTCGAGTTCATCTACAGCAGTGGTTCTCAACCTTCTTAATGCTATGATCCTTTAATACAGTTCCTCAGGCTGTGGTGACTCCCAACCATAAAATTATTTGCATTGTGACCTCATAAGTGCAATTTTGCTGCTGTTATAAATGATAATGTAAATATCTGATATGCAGGATGGTCTTAGGTGACCCCTGTGCAAAGGTCATTTGACCCCAAAGGGGTTGTAACCCACAGGTTGAGAACTACTGCTTTAGGGCTTACGTTGTTTCACAAAGGACCAAAAATAAACAACAAAAAACTTGAACAAGGATCTAAGCCTGGATTTGTTTGATCTCAACACTCAGCCTCTTTCCATTTGATGATATCAACTCTCAAACATCAATATTATGTTGAAAGTGGAATTTCAATCAATGATTACATATTTTATGATGTCTAATAAATTGTACTTTGATATGCACTTAAAGATTTAAACAATATCTGGGATTGAAGCAGTATGTTGCTTAGGGTGTTCTAGTGATTTTTAGTCACCAAAAGCAGGTATTTGGGTAGTGAGGCGATTTCAAGTATTTCAAGTATCATGTCAACACAGTAGGAAATATGTGTTTTAGGGGTAATATAGTAACATGTCTTCATGGGACCAACTTCCTTCTTAGCTGTGATTGTTCAAACTGCTGAGATGCCTCAGACTGACCTGGTGGTTCAGTCCACCATGTTTCCATATTGACCAATATAGAGAGGATGGATACTGATGGAGAGTGTGCAGTAGAGACAGAAGGCAGGCACTCCCACTGAGGAATACTGCCTTTGTCATTCACAAGTTTTTGATCATTGTCAAAATTATGAAAGTTTCTGAACTCCAGACTTCCCTTTATATTAGGAGAGATAATTAAACCTCCCCATTGAAGTTATTTTTTTAAGACTAAAGATTATTGCAAAGAGCTCATGCATAAATGAGGATAAACTGCATAGCACATGGTGTATATCACTTGATCAGATATATGAGATGACAAAAGTTGTAGTTCTCATTCCAACCACAGGGAATCTATACATGGGACAACTGATTAAAGCAAAAAATCTCAGTCTCTACAGATTAACTCAGACTATTTGAAATTTAAGGAAGAAATGAAATTAAGGCTATACTCAATATAAGCTAAGTGCCTATTTTTTTTTCTGTAAAAAAATTCATTATTTGGGAAATGAAGATAACAGATTAAAGATGATAATGAATTCTGAAAAGGCCATTGGAAGGAACTTGTAGGCACTGCAATGGATACATGACCAACTTACCATATCATTTGTATAATTATCCAAATACCTATATTTCATTTTACTCTAGAGACCTGAAATTATTCAATCGGTCTCTCATCTATCATTTTATTGGGATAAAGTTCACAGAACACACAACTTTACAGGATAAAATTCAGCAGTATTTATTCTATTCATAATGTCATGAATTACTACCTCTAATGACCTCTCAAACATTATCATCCATGCAAAGAAAACTGCAGCAGGAATCTTAAAAGTTCTTATTAATAAAAACAACCCAGAGCCAGGTACTGGGGTGAATGCTGGAAGATCAGAGAAGCAGAACAAGCCACAGCCACCTCATCTCGCCAATTCCTCAGCTGATCCTGTTTCCTCAGACTGGAAGCTTCTGTCCTCATCCAAATCGATCTCAGCTGAATGGCTACTCAAAAGCCTAAAAGCTTAACCAGGATCTAGTTCCTCATCCTCACGCCTTAAATACTTTTCTGCTTCCCACCATCACTTCCTGGGATTAAAGGCTCTTTTACCACGCCTAGCTGTTTCCAGTGATGCTTTGAACTCACAGAGATCCAGAGGGATCTCTGCCTCTGGAATGCTAGGATTAAAGGCAGGTGTGCCACCATTTTCTGGCCTCTATATCTAGTGGCTGTTCTGTTCTCTGACCCCAGATAAGTTTATTAGGGTGCACAATATTTTGGGGAACACAATATCACCACAGAAAACCCTGCACCCAACTAAGTTATTCTCCTTCTCTTTGGTGCCAGGATCTGCCAACTACTAATTTGTTTTCTAACCCCATCTATTATGAATGTTTTACATGAAAGAGAATAGGACAATACATGGCCTATTGTTTCTGCTCATTGTCACTCAACATAATATCTTCAAGTTTTATCCATGTTATCACATATATTAATATTTCATTTCTTTTTCATATTTGGGTAGTCATAATGCTGTTATGAACATTTATGCACACATTTTTGAATACTTGGAGGCATTCCTAGGAGTAGAATGCTAGTCATATGGCAATTTGAAATTCTACTTTCTGAGAAACTCAATCTTTTTCACCAGTTTCATTTTATAGGCTTAAGGATTCCAGTTCCTCTGCACTCTCACCAATATTTGCTATTTTTTAATTTACTATGATGATTGCCCTTCTAGTGAGTAGCAAGTTATAGCCCACTGCCATTTTGATTTACCTTTCTCCAATGATGTCGTTCATCTTCCATTTGTGTATTGATCATTTACATATTAAAAACAACTTTCTTCATTCACGAGAATTTCATTTATGTACACAATGAATTGTGATCATATAATTCATCATATATTCATATCATTATACTATTTCATCCCTCTTAGTCCCCGAATCCCTCCCCTGCCCATCTCTCTCCCAACTTCACATTTTCTCTTTTTTGAAAACTTACTGAGTCAAATTAGTGCTTCCCATAAATGCACAGGCATGGGATCATCCACTGCAATGTGGGGAACCTACTGGTGGCCACACCCTCTAAAGAGAATGATTCTTCTCTCACAACTATCAACTCCTCAGTAAATGTTAGGGCCTGGAAAGCACTTCCTCCATATATACCAGAATTTTGCTTGGCTTGATTTTGTGGCTAGTTTTGGACAAACAACCATATCTTTTGTGAGTTTATGAGTGGGACAACCATGTCATAATCAGATGACAGCATTTCATAGCATTCCTCCCTATCCTCTGGCTCTTATATTTCTTCTGCCTTCTCTTCTGAGATGTTCCTTGAGCCTGGGACAAGTGAGGGTATTAATAACAATGGTACATTTAGGGGTTATCACTCTTTTGAGATAGTTTAGAAAGACAACTAGGTAAATATTGTCTATGTTATTAAAATAGGTAGAAAATATGATTTATGTTTGCTATCTCTGACACTGGCAATCATCTCGTTATCAAGTACTCTGAATATATGTTTTTGATAATGTGTCTGGTTATTCTATGTGCTTTTTTTTTTTGAAACACAGATGGCTTTTGTCCTGTATCCCAAAAACAGAGACCATGCATGGGACCTGTCTGATCATAGCAACATTATGTTTCTCACCATATGCTTTTGCTTGTATTATGCATTGACCTATGCCATCATTGGAATTAATTATGCTCTTATTACCTGGTAAGTTAATGACTTTCATTCATCAGATATGATCATTAAGACTCAACTGAGTTAATCTTAAAGTTCAAATCCTTTTCATGAATTAATTTCTTCTACTACTGCCCCACAAGACAAAGTAGTATAGTATAAAATTATCTGGAAACACAGAAACTGCCAGCAAAACAGTATATGGTGGTTCATACTTAGAATAGCTGTCTGTGATGTCCCTCTGACACATGCATCATCCTGCAGTACATTCACCTGCACCTCCCTCCCTGGTAGGAGATTTGAAAGGCCCCCAGAACAGTCCCCTCTGATGGTAAAAGGCCTACCAAGTCTTTGTCTTGTAGAAGGAGAGAAAATAGGAAGTCTTTCATCTTAAATATTTAAGTGAAAAGTACATTCATCCGCTAAAGGATCTTCTTCCTGTCTGTCTTCCTGATGGGAATCTTTTGAGACAGGCCCAAACTTCACCAAAAGATGGAAGGCAGAAAGTTAAAATAAAAATGCAGGTCATTAGAGAAGTTTCTCATAAAATGAGAATGATTTTGGTAATTTCATTTACTAAATTTGTTTGCATATATCTCATAATTTATGGAAATTATGTTCTACTTACATGGTCGCAGTATACAATGTTCTTATGGTAATCATATATAGGAAAAAACTGTGTATGCTTCACATAAATATTTCTCACATCATAGAAGTGGAGAACTTGCTCAGCTTTGGTCACTAAGAAGCTTTAGACCTTCTAGAGTTGGTCATTGCAATCACCACTTCTTCTAAATCTCCATTTGAGTTTGTTTCAAAGTATTCCAACAGGCATAGGTTGGAGAGTACTTCTGTGTAGTTTAAAAACAGATTGATTCTTTGCGAATTTCATATGAATATATAATACATCTTGATCATCGCCACCCCCATTTTTCCACTTCTAATTCTTCCAAAACCTCTTCAGACACATCCCTCTCCCAATTCCATGTCCTCTTCTTCTTCTTCTTTTTTTAAAAAAATTACCACTGAGTCTAATTATTGCTTCATGTGCCCATGGATTAGAGAGTTGGCCATCTACTGGAAAGGAGCTTGCCACCTCTATCAACATCTTAATTTATTGTGTATATGAGTATCACTTATAGTTTAATAGCCAGTGCCCTGCTTACAAAAGCACTTCTTTGAAGTTACAAGGAAGAGCTGAAATCCAGCCCAGACTTGTCATGGGGTTTAAGTTAACTTGGGCCATCAGCTATATGGAAGTAAATGGCTCCATGTACATTCTTTGGAGAAAAAGCCATCTTTTTGTAATATACAGACTGTTGTGGTCCTAATGTGGGAACTCCACTGATGTCAGATTCATTTGGGCTTGCACAGATTATAGATTTTCCTATTTATAACAAGTTTTCTGAAATAATGCCAAGTACTTTATAGCATAAATGTTGAATATTTTAAATTCTGAAACACTGGCTGAGGAAATTTGGCTTTAAGGTATGCTTCTCAGCATGCACACACCAATGGAATCTTTCAACATTTATTGGGTGTGTCAGTGTGAATAATGCTAAAAGTGTGATGCTGAATATTATAATTTACTGTGTTGAAGTTGTTTTAGAAATAATCAAAATTATGTTCTGATGTTATAAATTTGAAAACCCATATTTTATCTGTTTACTTATACCTTACTTTAATCTACATAAATTTTCAATAGCTCAAAGCTAAATAGAAATTATTTTCCTTTTAGAGTTGTGTCTCCAGGTATACAAATAATCTGAAGTTGTTTTTACTATAGAGTTACATTGCCTTAAGGTTTAATTTTAGATTTCATCTAACCAGAGATCGTTTTCTTTCTACTCAGGTTGGTTAAGTGGAGACTTAGCAAGCTCTGTACGTCAGAAACTCAACTTCTGAAAAATCATGAACAGCAAGAAGAATCAGAAGATGAAATGTGATTTTTTTTGACTGGCATCTAGTCTCTCTAAATGAACCTTCTTATTTTTTTGCATTGTCTTGGCTCATGGTTTTGTTTAGTGAATGGTATGGAAAGAAGCCATGACCACAAGCCTGTAATTTTGCAAGTGCGGAGCCAAATTACCATGGACCATCTTCTGTCAATTTATAGCGGATTATTACCCAACTCTGTATGTGACCTAACATCTCTCTGATTATAAGTAAATCCTTGGGAATGTAGAGGCAGAACCTTAGTCTATACCCAGTAGAAATCTATGAATATAGATAAGAGAGCATCAGAGGACTGGAGTTGAGGTTCCCCCCTTTTTTTAACCTGCCTACCCGCTGTTTCCACTAATGTCTTTGAAAAGTGTTTTGAATATCATTTTCTTTGTTCTGTTATCATAAAAGGTTATGAAATTGTTACCATGTCGGAACATGGAATTCGGGGTAACTCATGTCTGTGTTCCTGGGCTATGGTCACTCACATCTGACTCTAGATGAAATTATTTTTTAATCCCCTTGGAGATGACAATAGTTTCTAGTGTTGACAGTTTCTTAACTTTTTTCTGAAGAATACCTGGCTGAGGATGACTCTGTAGCAGTGTTCTAATTTTGTTAAGGCATTTGCATTTACATGTTTTATTCTTAGCTTGTAACATCATTTGGGATAAGTTCATTTTATATATCACATGTAAAGTGATTTTTCTATGCTATATGCCCACACTATGACAAATATTTGTTTAATTTATCTGATACACACACATATATATGGTTTGTGATATTGCTGCTATTGAAATCTACTAAATATTAGATTATATTTATCCTATTGCTGCAATGACAAATAAGTGAATGCATGCTCCATGGTGCAGAAGCCTGAAGAGGAAACTGCAGAAATTCCTTTTTGTGCCCAATGGTTTCAGTTCTCTGAGAGGAAAAAGATGACCAGAAGTTATCCTGAGCTTTCCAAAGGATAAAAGAGATGTTCCCAGGGTACACAGTTACAAAGCCATGAAACTGGGGAAGGAGAATTGTGGTAGTATCTGTAAGAAGAGAACGCTACATTGAAAGCCACCAAAGTCACCCTGTTAAAGCAGGTGAAGGAGTAACACAGGAAACCCCTATCTTGTAACACTAGACTCTCTGTACCCCGATTCTATGTCTTTGCAAGTTGGAGTTGTAATGTAATAAGTAAACTGTCACCTACAGTAACTTGAAGCCAGCATTCTATGTCTAGTCCTGGCCAGACATGTAGAAATAAGTAGCACAAATCAGATTTAAAATATATTTGAAAACTGTTAAGCTCAAATACTCTGCAGTCTTCATAAAAGAGCAGAAATGTCTACATGTTCAGTGTTGTAGAAGGCAAGCCCCTAGAAAAACAGCTGCCATCTTCTTCAAATCAGCTGGACCTGTTGACTACTGAAGATCCCTCTGAGGAGGACTGTGGAGGGATACTTTGGTCAATAGAATTCTTTTATGGATGATAATAATTTTGCTTTGTGAAAAAACTGTATTATAACAAGTTTTCTGAAATAATGCGAAGTACTTTATAGCATAAATGTTGAATATTTTAAATTCTGAAACACTGGCTGAGGAAATTTGGCTTTAGGCTCTGCTTCTCAGCATGCACACACCAATGGAATCTTTCAACATTTATTGGGTGTGTCAGTGTGAATAATGCTAAAAGTGTGATGGTGAATATTATAATTTACTGTGTTGAAAAGACTTGTAAAAACAAAATTGTTTTTAGCCTGTAAGCCACGAGGAGGTTGCTCTTATCTTGAATGTATCCTGTCAGCTAACTTAGCCAAGATGGATGACTTTTTGCTGCAGTTGGGCTATTCTTAAAAACTGCTGATTGTTGCAAAATCTTTCACTGCCTCAGCTTTTCTTACAAGGTAATAGGTTACAAGATTAACATGCTAAAAGCTAAGTTCAGCTTTTGTTTGAAACATTCTCTTGCTTGCTTTGGATGGCTGAGGCATCTGCTAGACATCTGTTATAAAATCAAGCTTTCTCTGCCCTTAGACAGGATATGTATTAACTTGCTTCCCCAAAATTATAATGTTGTGGATTTTGCCTTTAAAATACTTGGACTAACAATAGCTGAGGCCTTACCTAGAGAACTCTCTGGTGAAAACCCTCTATGTTACTAAAATTAAAACTTGAGTCAGACTGGTGAATTGGTGGATGACCCCAGACCCATAACAAAGCAGAGTAATGTTCAAAGCAAAGTTCTTGTTTCAATATAACTTGTATAACTAGAGGTGAGATGGATATATATCTAGAGAGAGAAAGAGAGAAAAACAGGGAGAGAGAGAGAGAGAGAGAGAGAGAGAGAGAGAGAGAGAGACTAGAGTGAGAGAGAAATAGAATCTCATGATCAAGTGGGCTTCTTTCCAGAGATGCAGTGATGATTCAACATATGAAAATATGTCAATGCAATCCATCTATAAACAAACTGAAATGAAAAACCACATGATCATTTCACTAGATGCTGAAAAAGCCTTTGACAATGTCTAGCACCCCTTCATGATAAAAGTCTTAGAAAGATCAGAGATACAAGGGAAATACCTAAACATAATAAAAGCAGTATATATTAAGCTGATAGCCAATACCAAATTAAATGGAGAGAAGTTTAAAGTAATCCACTAAAATCAGGGACAAGACAAGGCTCTCCACTCTCTCCCTATTTACTCAATATACTACTTAAAATTTTAGCTAGAGCAATAAGACAACTTAAGGACATCAAGAGGGTACAAATTAGAAAGGAAGAAGTTCAAGTATAACTATTTACAGCTGATATGATATTATACATAAATGACCCCAAAAATTGTACCATGGAGCACCTGCAGCTGATAAACACCTTCAGGAAAGTGACTGGATACAAAATTAACTAAAAATAAATTAGAAACCCTCCTATATACAAATAATAAATGGGCTCAGAAAGAAAGAAATGGAAACAATATCCTTTACAATAACTACAAATAATATAAAATATCTTGGTGTAACTCTAACCAAACAAGTGAAAGACCTGTATGACAAGAACTTCAAGTCTTTGAAGAAAAAAATTGGAGATCAGAAAATGGAAAGATCTCCCATGTTCATGGATAGGTAGAATTAGCATAGTAAAAATGGCCAACTTACCAAAAGCAATCTACAGATTCAATGCAATCATCATTAGAATTCCATCACAATTCTTTACAGACCTTGAAAGAACAATACTTAACTTCATATGGAAAAACAAAAAATCCTGAACAATAAGAGAACTTCTGGGGGTATCACCATCTCTGATTTCAAGCTGTATTACAGAGCAATAGTAATAAGATCTGCATGGTATTGTCATACAAATAGACAGGTGGATAAATGGAATCAAATTGAAGACCCAGATGTAAACCCACACACCTATGGACACTTGATTTTTTTTTTTTTAACAAAGAAGCCAAGGGCTGGAGAGATGGCTCAGCCGTTAAAGGCTAGGCTCACAACCAAAAATACAAAGAAGCCAAAATTGTACAATGGGAAACAAAAGCATCTTCAATAAATGGTGCTGCTCTAACTGGATGTCAGCATGTAGAAGAATGAAAATAGACCCACATCTATCACCCTGCAGAAAACTCAAGTCCAAGCATATCAAAGACCTCAACATTAACCCAGAAACACTGAACCTGGTAGAACAGAAAGTGGGAAATAGCCTTGAACTTATTGGAACAGGAGACAACTTCCTGAATAGAACACCAGTAGCACAGACATAGATTGACAATTAACAAATGGGACCTCATGAAACTGAAAATCTTCTGTAAGGCAAAGGACACTGTCAAAATGACAAAACAGCAGACCACAGAATGGGGAAAGATCTTCACCAACCCCACATCTGACAGAGAGCTGATCTCCAAAATATATAAAGAATTTCAGAAGCAGCTCTTAGGGGAAACTCATGGGTGGACTGTGTAGCATATCCTCATATTCATTTTTTTTTTTTTTTTTTTTTGGTTTTTCGAGACAGGGTTTCTCTGTGCAGCTTTGCGCCTTTCCTGGAACTCTATTTGTAGACCAGGCTGGCCTCGAACTCACAGAGATCCGCCTCCCTCTGCCTCCCGAGTGCTGGGATTAAAGGCGTGTGCCACCACCGCCCGGCCATACTCATTTTTATTCATCAAAATTATACAGCTTAAGAAGAAGTCATCTTCCTGGCAACCCACAGATTATAAATGCCCCGTAGGACGGGATGTTTTTGTGAGATAAACACACTACAATACCGGCGGATTTCCCCACACCCAGTTCAACCAATGTCAGATATCAGAGAGAGATAGCAACGGCAAACATACAAAAACACAGCAGAAGCAAAAGACATTCTGGGGTCTGTATCCTTGCAAGCCTTGCTTAAATGAGATATATGTTGGACCCCAAAGTTTAGGGTCTCAAGTGGGCGCCCCAAGAAGCCAGACTCCAGTCCAGTTGATGCAATAGCAGGAGGATTTATTAAGCTTCTATATAGAAGGGCAAACTCTGCTCCTAAGAGCAAGAGCCGCATCTTACTGCAGCCCCATAAGGGCTTATAAAGGAAAAACCCACAAAACCCACAAGATTACAATTCCCATACAAGTTCATTTCACAAGATCATGGTCTGGTCACAGAGTGATCACAGAGGGGGTACAGTTATGTTAACAGGTACATTTTTCCTGAAACCTCAAGGGGGGTATCAGGGCAGGAGTGGAGTTTACATACAGGTCATGGTGGTCCTTCCTGGAACACCTGCAACTATCCCAGTCACAGTTGAGCACATCTCTTAACAGAAATCTTTTTACATTGTTATATGGTTGCTGGGGAGATTGAACAATGGCTGAGTCAGGTTGCCCTTGGAACTAGATTTTTTGTTTCTCATTTCCTGGTGCTTGAAGTTTCTCTTTTCCTGAGGCTTGGAGGTGTAAGCCTGAAGGGTTAGGATCTTTCATATACCCACCAGAGAGTTTTCCTTCGGGTGGGCTGATACCTGAACTTCAATTGCCCCTGCTGTTTCTCTGATATGGCCACCAGCAGTGGCCATTTGGTGAGGGCCTTCTTATGTATCATATAGCAGAGTACATCACATGACAAGAGTTAGGGAACTGTAGGATTTCAGGTTTCTCTCAGGAAGTCACTGCACAATCAGGGCTGTCAGTCTAATAAGAGCAAATAAGAAAATAATGTTCTTTTTGGGTGACTACTTTAATCTAGGTGTATCATAGTCTTTGCATTG